GTGACTTGCTTTATAATCTGGTAATATTGGCTTTGTATGAGTAGGTTTGCCAATTGTTAATAAAATTGCTGACCACCTGCAAAAGAAATATTGAAGTGTCATGGAAAAACATATCTCAGAAAACAAAAAAATAGCACAATAATTAGAACCATGTATTTTTCCTTACTGTGGCATCTTTTTTTTATAACAACAAAACCCCATTAGAGTAAATTCTGGGTTTCTAAGCTCTGGGAATTAATTATAATGTTGAGTTGTATATAAATAGATGTAGCACGCTTTTTCAAAACAACCAGTGGAATCTAAAACTACACTGAAACATTGATGTTTTCTCAGATTAATTTTTTAATTTAGAAATATATCATGTATTTCTAAAAGGAATCCACTTTGAACAAACACTTCCTGGGAAATTTGTACTGGTTGTGAAATTTGGGTTTTTAAATAAAAATTTGGTGAGAAGTAAACAATTTGCTTGCCCATTTAACATGGCCAACAAGCCGGAAATACCTCCCAGTATAATCTGAACTATTTCACAATTTCAGTGAATAAAGTGTGATGATCTTTTAGTATTAATTTTAAAATAAAAGATTAAGCCCAATTATGAACTATTTCAGTCACCTAATCAATCTAACTATACAACCATCAGAGTTGAATGGCATGACTACAAAATGGACTTTCAGCTATTGAATCCAGTAGCATAGAATGTTTTGGGGAATGAAAGTCAGTGACATTACTGTGAGAAAATCAGAACACATGTGAACAAAATGAGGGTCCTATCTGGGAACTCTGGAGAAAAGCATGGTGTCAGTTGGAGCTGCATTCATAGCCAATTCGACCCTCGGCAAGCATTTGAGGAAGCCACTCAAGGTCCTGAAATCTCAGGTAGACACTTCACATGGCTGGTGTGTTTAAGACATTTTTGCTATTGGGACGCCTGGGTGGCTCAGCAGTTGAGTGTCTGCCTTTGGCTCAGGGCATGACCCCGGGGTCCTGGGATCAAGTCCCGCATCGGGCTCCTTGCATGGAGCCTGCTTCTCCTCCCTCTTCCTGTGTCTTTGCCTCTCTTTCTGTGTATCTCATGAATAAATAAATAAAATCTATTTTTAAAAAAGACATTTTTGCTATCAAAGGCAAAAAAATGCTTAAGCCAGGCTTGTATTAATTACATAATATTCTGAGGATAAAACTCAGACTTAGTCTTTAATCCCAAAGATTTGTATTCATCTTCAAGGCCATCAAAACCCATCTAGAGATTCTAACAAACCAGAAGACATACGAACACCATTTGTCGTAAGATATATGAGTGACAGAAGACTAGGAGCAATAATTGGGGAAGACGGAAGGACAGAGGGAAAAGTTTCAAGATGAGCTTATTTCTCCACAAAAAGGTAGATTTGCCTGATGATTCAAAATGATAAAGGAGGAAATAAAAAAATAAAGGAGGAATTTGAAAAAATAGGCAACCCTTGAAAAGTTAAAGAACTACTAATTTTATGTGGGTACATTTTATTATTATTCCTCAAGTAATCACTTACATTACATAGGTGTACTTCTGTTTCACCTACAAAGATTTGATTGTGCCCTTTCAGGATGAAAGAGGTTTGTAACATAGTCTTTCCTAAAGTGATCAGATCACTCTGAGTTTTGAAGGAATCGTTCGGTGAATTACCACAACCTGCTCTGATTGACCTCCTAGAAATGCCCATATCACATTTTCTTCCCCCAAATGAGCTATCAGATTTTCCTTTGGGAAATAGTTTCACTCCTAAGGTCTAGAGGAGGGGTCAGGAGATGTTTTCTGTAAAGGGACAAAAAGTAAAAATTTAAGACTTCTGGGACTTCGGTTGCAATGTCTCAACCCTGCCAATGTCTCTTCTGTAGTGCCAAAGCAGCCTTAGGAAGAAATGGCCATGGCTGTGTTCCAATGAAACTTTATTTATAAACACAACAGACTGGATCTCATCCATGGATCATAATTAGCTATCCCCTGGCCTACCTAATCAGGAACTTTTTCTTCATATAGGAAGAAATGGCCATGGCTGTGTTCCAATGAAACTTTATTTATAAACACAACAGACTGGATCTCATCCATGGATCATAATTAGCTATCCCCTGGCCTACCTAATCAGGAACTTTGTGTTTTACCTTCATATCACCTTCTTTCCTGAAGGCTAACAGGATTATCCAAAGGTAGCAGGACAGGGTAGGAGAGATATATTTTGTCAGGACTGAGGACACGTGGTCCCATCTATATCACTTATTCCCTTTGTACAAAAGAAAAGAAGTTGGTGATAAAACATATAGTTAGAAAAAGCTCAATAATTATCAAAATGGCAAAAGCCCAGCAATCATGCAGTAATCAAAAACTGAAACAAGAGTAAACCTAAAAAAAAATTCATAATAAAAGAGGAAAAATTGAAAGCCATGATCCACTGAAGACAATACCTACAGTGCACAAATAACGATTTCACCTCCGGGGATGCCTGAGGGGTAATGGTGAGGAGCGGGGCATCCAACTATCTGCATGTCTACAAAGACAGCAGGAACTTGATCCTGGCAGTCAGACTCCTCAGTAGGATAGAGCCATAGACTTAAGGAAAATCTAGTAACTTACAAGTTTTGGTATATATACCAAATATTAGTCATCTTTAGTCATTCACTTATTCAGTCAGTAATAATTTGCTCTTAGTCATAACAATGAAAACCTAGGAGCTTGCACATCATCCTTCCTTCCCACAAGAACCCATAAAGGAACATGCACATTGTTCATCAACTCACAAATCCCCAGCTCATGCTTTGAGAAAGAGCAGTCTAAAATATTCCCACCTTCATGTCTTTGCTCATAGAGTTAACCTCTTCTAGAACACTGTTTTCTACTCACCCTTTTCTCTTTCCATTCCTCACCTCCAGCACCCACACATGGTACCATCACCATCAGGGACCAGGCAAGCCTTCCTTCTTCGCAAAACATTGCTGGACATTTTCATTTTCTGCTCTGACCTACTGGAAGTAATTTGCTGGTCCCCATCCTGACCCCATATAGCCACAGAACTGTGCTTGACCCCTCACTTCATGGCATTTTTGATATTCAACTCTGTGTGACAGTTATATATGTCCATGTTTTTCTTATAAGAAAAATAAGAGGGTGGTTATATATCATTTTGCTTTAGCAGGTCACTGGGTTTGGGCCATGGGTTCAGCATAGGCAAATATCAAATACATAAATGAATGTCTTATTAGAATATATAAAGCTGTTAGAACCTACCACATCAAAGGTATATGTTCTTTTCCAAAGACTAAGATTGAGTTCTAAGAGCCCAACCACACAATTTCATTCCATGTATATGCTTATTTACTAGACACATATTAATAATTATAATTCTTTATACAATCACAGAGAATTTATGAAGAAATTTTTAAATATTATTTCATTGGAGCCTCACCATAATCCTGGATATCAAAGAAGGTTACAGTTGAAAAATCAAAGCTCAGAGAGTTTAAAAGGCATCACTAGTAACTGGTGGAAAATAAAATCGATGCACTAAAGAAAATAGAAATTCTGTCTCTTATCTCTTTCTCTCTCTTCTCCCTCTCTCTCCCTCTCTTCTTTTCCCCCCACCCTCCCTTAGAGATGTTACACATCTGTAAGTAGAAGACAATTTCTATCCTAACAAACCCAGCCTAAGACTAACATTCTGAAGTATATTTATAGTAAAAATAATTAGGATTACTACATAGTACACTAGATTTGTTGAAAGAAATTACATGAAGGAAATTTTTATTACTGAAAAAGAATAGGAGTAAAGATAGACTTATGTAAAAGAATTTCAGTCCAGGTAATTTGTACTTAAATATTCATAAATACTCATCACATGGAATAAGAATATGAACTTAGCACTGAGAATTTTAGATTGGCCATCACATTATTCTGAAAGAAAAGTCAAATATGCCAGGTTTTGATATGAAATTTTCTAAAATAAATTTCAAGTGATATAAGGTCATCTAGATTTGGTCAAACTGTAGTCATTCAGTATTGAGACTTTTATGGACCCCTAGTTGGAGGCCTGAAGACCATATCCCATTTGCCATCTGCCTGTCAAACCAAGTGTTCATAATCATGGTGAACTGGCTGCATTTGTGCCCCCAGACTGTTTCTTATGGACCGTGCTGAGCATGGAACAATGCAGGAGTTGTCAGAGGATGGCAAAGAGCCAGAGGAGGACATCTTCCCTGCGTGTCCAGATGACATCAATATACTGACCCCATCATTCCCTCCATTCCTGGCGACAGAAACCACAGCAAGTGTTGTGGAGTTCTATGCATGCTGCTGTTTCATCTTATCATGGCTCCTTCTTCCCACTTTGTCCAGAAGGACCATCTCTCCCCCTGATTAGGGCTTGTTTAGGAAGTAGCATAACAAAGACAGTAGGTCTTAGGATCTCAGGACAGATTCAAGCCTTCCTTCCCCAATAAGTAATGTGACCTTAGCAAAGTTACTTGACTTCTCTGCCCTTGTTTTCTTATATGTAAGAGAGGAATTATAACACAGCCAGCAGATACTGAGGGCTCATGATGGGCCAGGTATTCTTCTAAGCACTAAAAGTATATTAACTCGTTTAATCCACACGACTGTCACTATTAGTATCTCACTTTAATTTTTTTTTAGTATCCCACTTTACAGATATGAAAACTGAGGTACAGACTGTTTGAGTGATTTGCCCAAGTTCACAGGTAATAAGTGGCAGAGCTAGGATCAAACATAAGCAGTGAGGTACCAGACTCCTGTCCGATCCTTCAGAAGAAAGAAGAAGAAAAGAAGAAGAAGAAGAAGAAGAAGAAGAAGAAGAAGAAGAAGAAGAAGAAGAAGAAGAAGAAGAAAGAAGAAGAAGAAAGAAAGAGAAAGAAAGAAAAAAAGAAAGAAAGAAAGAAAGAAAGAAAGAAAGAAAGAAAGAAAGAAGGAAAGAAAGAAAGTTTCTGAGACAATTAAAGAAAAAAATTCTTACCACTTCAGGAGAGAGTTCTCAGTAGCTCCACTTGCAGCATGGAAGAGTTTTTCTCCCTGCTGATCAGACCATTCTCAAGCACAACCAAAAACGTGTCCTCATTGTGTATGGTTGTAAGATCCATTCAGTAGAAACTTCACCAGAAGCTTTCAGGACTCAGTCTGGGGAAATGAGCTTCACTTAGCTGACCACCCAGTCTCATAGTGAAGTGTTTATGCTCTTTTGTTTGGGCCACAGGCAATTTTGGTTTGTTTATAGAGAAGCTGAGGCATAAAAATGAAACGTAATGGTGTCCATCCACATACATCAATGCTTCTGACCAAACAACCTGGTGGATCTTGTCCTAAGAGGAAAACTAAAAGGGGCTCAGGTATCTAGCGGTTTATATGGTTAGTATTTTTATAATAGAAACTCTTCCTCTCACTTTATCTTCCTTGTGCTATCAGCTTTCCATTCTGTCTCTCATAAAGTTATTACTCACACATGAGAAGATTCATTGTCAGAAAAAAAAAATATGTGACTTGATTTTTTTCCTTTTGTCCTATTCTCTTCAGTAGCAGCTGTCACTGACAGAAGCAGCAACAACAGGATTGTTGATGTCAAAAGTGGTTAGGGCCAACATTTATTAAGGGAAGCATCTTTCTAGGACCCTTTCATATTTTATCTCACTTAATTACCGTAGCAACTCCATTGGGTAGGTCCTTTTATAGCAGCTCCCCTTACCCATGGAAGATACGTTCTGAGACCCCCAGTGGTTGCCTGAGATCCTGGATAGTACCAAACCCTCTACATAAATGTTTGTTCCTATTCATACATGCCTATGATAAAGCCTAGTTTTTAAAATAGGCACATTAATAGATCAACTACAGTAACTAATAATCAAATAGGACAGTTATACCAATATATGGTAATAAAAGTTAGGTGAATATGGTCTTTCTCCCAAAATATCTTACTGTGCTCTACTCACCTTCCTGTGATGATGTGAAGTGGTTAAAATGCCTGCATGATGAAATGAAGAGAGGTGAATGACATGGGCATTGTGACATTGCATTAGGCTACTACTGACCCTCCAACATATGTCAGAAAGAAGACTATCTGCTTCCAGAGCGTGATTGACCATGGGTAACCAAAATCATGGAAATTGAAACCAAAATTGTGGATAGGCGGGAACTACTCTGTATCCTGGTATCATAAAGAAACAAGTCTTAGAGAAGTTAATTATCTTCAAGGTGATATGTCCAGAAAGGAGCAAAACTGTGAATCCAATCAATTCGCTCTACTGCTTCCCATTTATTATTCTCATTTGAACGATATGCACCATATTTTAAATAATCATTAGCTTTATGTAAATAAATCTTAAACATCCTCAGGTCCTTCAGGTTTCTGACTTGGTCCTGTGAATTTTCTTGACATTCCTTGTCCTATTAATAAAAATCATTTTTAAATCAATGTTGCCAAAGCTGATACGTATATGGTCTCTTGTAGCTTTTGCATCCATCAATTACAACATAAAAATGTTGAACCCAAATGGAAAACTTTTGCTTCCTTTAGAGATGTCAGGTACAATCAAATTTGAAAGATGGCAAAAAGGAATGGATCTAGAGATAATATAAATATTAATTCAGTGGTCACTTCTCTTGAAATGTCAGGATGTTTTGTGTGCGAGCTTTTGAATGTTTTATGCAGACACTTTGCAGAATGAATGATGTATATGCAGCCATCCTGTGCATGCAAACTAAACGTTGATTCCTGAAATGTCAATTGCATGGTTTTCACCAAAGTTGCTCTGCCATTTAAGAAGATGAAAGTTGAAAGTTGCCCAGCCTCTCTTTTATTCCCCCTACCCCTCCTCATGACCTCCCTGCAAAACGATGACAGTGCCTCCAGTTGTCACTGTTAACTTTGCAGATGCTAGAAAGGGATAGTTGGAGGAGAGGCTCATCAACCACCAAGATCTGCTTCATTTTTTTTTCCATGATCCTGTGTTTTCTGAACTGCAAAACATCCCTCCAATCATTACTTAGATGCATGAGCTCAGAAATTTTTGAGAGTTTTATTTTCCATTTTAATTGCAGTTTAAATTCATAGGAAAACCAGAAATGGCCAATTTTTCCATTTACAATATTCCAGCAAAGTTTGTGACCCAGGACAGTCTCTAAACACAAATTCCCCATTAGTTTTCTTGTAACTTTGGCTCTTAGGTAGGTACCAGCTAATAAAAAGCTGTACCCATGATGGGTCTGCCTGGGAACATGCTTTCAAAAATTTCCAGATCTTCATCTTGCCATGACTATTGGAGGACTTTTGGCTTCACTCTGAAAGCCATAAAACCATAAAGCAGATCTGAGAAAAACCCACAGCTGCATACATCTGATGACAGTCTTAAACTGATTTTCCAAAGATAGGGAGCTCAGCAAAACCCAAACTCCATGATGTCAACAATACTGGACTTTTACGCTTTAAGCCAATGGGTATTCTGTGGAAGATTTAATCCATGTGTTCCTTATCTACTTACAGTTAACTCATCAAAATGCCATTTGCTTAAGTGTTTCCAAAGTTGCATGAGCTTTTATTTCTCGGTCTCTCAAATGGACGCCGGCGGGAATCAAGTTTTCCCAGGGTAGCAACTTCCAGAGTCTAAGTTATTTTCAAAACCAAGACTTTGTAGATTTCAAGTAGCTATTTTAACTATCACTTACAAGGGCTCTTTCAGCAACAGTGTGTCTCCTCATTAAAAGTGATGTAGGAAAACAGCCTTTCACCACTCCGCCAGAGTTGGGGGGACCAGCCCTATGCCTGTCTTCCTGCTTCCTGTGTTTTTCCACCTTCAGGAGTTTACAGTCTAGCAAGGATTTTGGACATGAGGATAAATAAGTACCATACATGACATAATCCTGCAATGGCTAAAAGTCCTGCAGTGGCTCCCTCTTGTATCAAACTAAAACTCACCAGTTCAACACTCAGAGTCTTCCAGAAAACCTATCACCTTCCGCCTTCCCCCACACAAGCAGCTTTTCAAACTCAACTTCCAAACAGCAAGCACCATTTTTGTTTCACCTCACCTGGCATATTATTCTGTAGCCTTCCTTCTGTAGGTACTGATAGCTACATAAAGACTAACCTAGAAGGGCAAACACCTGGTAATTGTGTGTATGTGTGTGTGTGTGTGTGTGTGTGTGTGTGCGCTTGCTTCCATAGCAGGAAAACTTGTCTTCTCAGTGAGAAGATACTGTTGCTAGTATTGGGACTATCTCACTTTTGAGAGAAAGTCAATTAATATTTCTTGAGTTGCTCAAGTGGGACACTACAGATTCTCCATCCAGCTTTTCTCGACAGACCACCAAACACTTTGGTAAGGGAGCAAAAGGAACAAAATGAGCTTTTTGGAAGGTGTGAGACCTAAAGGGAGAGGGGGCAGAAATTCTGCAGAAAAATAGGAGGCAGAGTGTGTATAGTTAGTGTGTACTTTGGATCTCACCCCTTAATCATGGCCTGTGTGGGGGCATATATGTTATCTCTGTACCTGAGCTTCAAGGCCATGTGTGCAAATCTTTGGACCCTCACACTAGTCACCGTTGGAGTAAGAACTCCCATGTTTATTTTGGGCTTGCGTTGGGGTTCTTTTTCTACCCCAAACTGAATCCAAGTGGTAGTACTAAAATGAGCCAACTCAATAAGTATGTATTAATTGATATTGCAGGTTACAGCTATACAGTTAATGGAAAACTCACTTAGTGTGGTTCCCACCCTCAAGAAGCTGATAGTCATCTGACTTAGAAGCATAGATCCTTAGAACTGGAAAGAACCTGAAAAATCCAAGTGTCTCATTATTTATGTGCAAAACTAAGCTTGGAGAAGTGATGGGACTGGCTTAAATCAAAGTTCTGCCTAGAACTCAGGGTTTCTGATTCAATGCCATGCTTTTCCATTATGATGTGTCAAGAACTCATCTCATTTTGTACACTTTTTTCCCTTCTCTAGCTAGATTATGGGTTTCTTGAAGGCAAGGAGTAATGTCTCATATTTCTTTCACATTCAGCCCACCCAAGGATGTTATGCATAACTGGGTGGATTTATGTATTCAGTAAATGCTTGTGGGATGGACAAGTAACTGGAGTGATGAATGAATGGGTAATATTAACACGAATTGCTAGATGGGTGAAAACGCTTAGAAAGCCCACATTCTTTCCTCTTCTGTGCCTTTATAGTGATTATCTTTTGGTCTGTGGCTTAGCAGCCATTGGTGTGGAAAAGATTTAGAGCCTGAGTTGACACAAGATGACTCAAAATGCTAATATAAACTTAGATCTCATTAAAGGTGTCTGACCAAGGGAGGTCATAATTCTACTCTATAGCCTCCTAATAGTCCATGCCTAACTATACGTTTTTAAGGGGACTATTGACAATAGTTGATTTTATATAATTGTCTCTAATGGAGGCTTAAAGACCCTAAATATGTCTCATTCAATGTTATGTACTTTACCTAACAAAATTCTTCCCCGAAATTGCAACTGAAATGTGCCTAAAAAGAGAAAGACTGGATGACTGATGAATGGTCCAAAATTATGTTGTACAAAGCGCTGTTAGAGGAGCTGAGAGAGGGAAGAACTTTATTTTTATTTATTTTTATTGAAGTATAATTGACACACAATATCCTACTAGTTTCAAGTGAACGTCATAGGGATTGGATATTTTTTTAAGTATATTTTTTAAATAATCTCTATACTCAACATGAGGCTCAAGCTCACAACTCCAAGATCAAGGGTCACATGCTCTTCTGACTGAGCCAGTCAGGTGCCTCACATAGTGATTTGATATTTTTATACATTATGAAATGGTCCCCTAGTTACTGTATAGGAGACTGACCATGTGAAGTCATTACGATATTCTTGATTATATTCCCGGTGTTGTGCTTTACATCCTTATTTATTGATAAGGATGACTTATTTATTTTATAAGTGGAAATATGTACTTCTTAATCCCCTTCACCTATTTTAGCCACACCCCAACCACTCCCCCGACCTGGAACAAATTTGTTTCCTGTGACTATGAGTCTATCTCCATTTTGTTTTGTTTGTTTTCTTTTTAACATATACATGAAAATCATGCGGTATTCGTCTTTCTGTGTCTGACTTAC